AAGAGCTGCAAAGTAGGGGTGCTTGGCTAGACATGCAGATTTTGCAATGAGAGATTGAAAGTATAAGGAACTGCTAAAAGCAGCACCCGTGCTGCCAAAGACAGCTCAATCTAGGGGAGTCTGGGAGAATGCCCCCTAGAAAATTAATATAATTTATAGTTGCTCTATAAGTCAAATATATAAAAGTAGGGGTGTTACAGTACCCCGGTTTCGACGCCTCTGGTTTCAATCACTACAATGTGTCGTGTTTCAAACGGATTGTCTTAGAACAAAGCCACGTTGGGCCATCAGCTGTGCTCATAGCGGGGAATCGAACCCTATATTTTGGCGTTGTAAGTCCGTGTACTTACAGCTGTCCCACCGGGGGGGGGGACATTTCAGACAGCCTGAAGTGCTTTGGTATTGGGTGAAAGGCCTTGTTGGTACTGGATATAGTACATATAGTATAGTTGACTTATTATTACACACATTTACTTACTTTCGCTCAAAAGCTTTTATTAATAATGCATATATAATTAAAATTCCCCATTGAAACAATAAGATATTGATGATAACAGAAAGTTTAAACTTGTCCATATGCCTTCAAATCAATAGGAAAATGCTACCACCCATTCCAAAATATAATTTCGTGTTAAGAGCCATACAATATATAGCAATGTTTATTCACTATGAAAATTGTTATGCAGCATCAGGCAAGCATATATGACAGTTATCCATGCCCTATCCTTTTCACATTTTTGAATAGGTAAGTTTATCAATACTATTCCCCTACTGGGTCTGAAGAAGAACGTCACTCAGTCAAGTCTAGTTTGTTTTTTGTGTTGTCTATTTATTGTTACTGTCTGAAGTAATCAATTAATAAAATTATGTATAATATTCACGGTAAAATATCCGCTAACTATCCTTGTCCTTCGGAAAGGATCAATATTTCATTAGTTTTTGCAAATCCACACTTACTGCTCGAATGCTTTAAACATGTTCATCGAAGCTTAGTAAATAAATATTTAAAGACTAGGTTACTTACAACTTACTTATATTCTTACGTAGAGTAGGTAAGAATATAAGTAAGTCGTAACCACTAATCTTAAAGCTACTATGCATTGAAATGTCCACTGCAAGTTCTTCACTATCTTAAAATGGTTAAAGGTGAGATAACTTATTTCAGACACGAACAGGTTTTCTATAAGTGATATCGATAATTTTAAAAGCTGTCTCCATCGTTAGTTATGAACAGTAGAGCATTCTGTCTTGGAGGTCGATACTGTCCTTTATCCCTTGTTGAAACTGGGAAACATCATTTTAGAGTTTCACACTTTTTTAATCACTAGGTAAATGTCGGATACATTGTTTTGGAGCCCGACAGTGTCTTTCATTAGAAGCTGAATGTGAGACACGTTATTTTCAAGTCTGACAGTCTCCATTGGTAAGTGAACGTGATGCGCGTTTATATATAGATATATTGTTCTTGTAGTCAGGCAGTCTCTTTCATGTGATGACGTTGTTATAAATTTCTCACAGTCTACCTCAGCAGGTTAACGTGAGAGGCGTTGTTTTAGAACATGACAATCTACTTCGCTAGTGAACGTGAGACATATTGTTTTGGAACTTGATAGTCTCTTCCATCAGTAGGTGCCCCTCAGTAGCACAGCGGTATGTCTGTGGACTCACAACGCTAGAATCCGAGTTTCGATTCTCGTGGTGGGCAGAGCACAGATAGCCCATTGTGTAGCTTTGTGCTTAATTATAAACAAACTAAACCATCGGTATATTAACGTGAGACACGTTGCTTTGGAGTCTTACAGTCTATTTCGTCAGTAGGGAACATGAGACGCGTTATTTTGGAACCTGATAATCTACTTCACTAGTTAACGTGAGACGCGTTGTTTTGGAGTCTGATAATCTTCATCATTAAAAGCGGTAATATAGTCGTTTCTAATATTTAGCACACCCCGAATTACATATTCTTAACAGTATAATGAAATTAAATATCTTTATAAAGTAGTTTAACCATTGATAAAACACATGAGCTGTGAATACTATAAATATACTATGTTTCTGAAGGTACTTTTCACGTAAATTATTATAAGTATTATTGTACCTCTAAAGTTGTGTATTGTTGAATTAAAACTCATGAAAGCGTCCTGTTCCAAAAGAGCGTGACACAATAAAACTTTCCAAACCACTCTAGCTGCTATAATCGGATAGTGGTCACAAAATGTAGTCCACACATTCTGCCAGACAATGCCACCTAACAGCTCGAAAAGCTAGGGTAACAAAACCCTTTAAGCTGTTAGTTTCTCGTCCAAACAAATATCTTAGCGGTCATAACCAAGCAAATATCACAAAATCTAGTGGACATTATTTCCTTACTTGGAAAGTTAGGATTGCTACTTTAAGTCAGTGATTGTGCATATCATTGTTAGTTCTAATTCCTGACCTGGCAGTTAATCCCAGCCATAGCAACCAGGTAGTATTCAATATCCTGGCTGACCATTTGAGCTTTTTGGGACGTTTTCAGATGCTTTCTCATCTGGCTTATCGAGGACAGCCAGATAAGTGCTTTTATTTCCATCCCCAGCAGCTGAATTAAAGTGTTCCATAAAAGTATTTTAATCTTCTTCAAAGTCGTCAATTTTGGACACTGATTTCTGTCCAAGTAACGTCATAAGAAATTTATCTATAATATATGGTCTCAGCTTGTCCACATACTGGACATACTTGTACACACACACTATTCATGCTGGAAATAGTTTGTCAGTGAATCAATTTGTCTGAGTACTAGGAGTGGATCAGACTAACTGGAGCCGAGTTGTTTCTAGACTGCAGGTACATATCTTAGCCGGACTTGAACCATTGTTATCTTCACAGAATCAGTTAAGGTGTCTGCTCTACCAGTGATATCGCCGGGACATTCTACTTGTATGCACATTAGTGCACACTTTCTAGGTTTCAACTTTAATCCACCCATTAATATCCACTGCAAAATCATGGACAGTTTCATAACAGCAGACTCAAATGTCTACCAAAATACCAAGACACAATTCACATACACAAGCCATCTCTCATTGCAACCCTTTAAGTATAATCTCCATTCCCCTCTCAAAAGTGGCCAGAGCATTGCACAGGCCGAATGACATTACTTGGAACTCAGACAAGCCAGATCAGGTACTAAAGAAAGTTTTGACCCAACTCTTGTCATCTAATTCAGCTTACCAGTATTCGTAGGCCAGATCTAGAGCGCTGAATTAATAAACTCCTTCCAGT